CCTGCAGGCGCTACTATGTGGCGTTCTGATGGCTGCTATCCAGAAATTGAACACTGACATTGAGCCACTAGCGGATCATATTATGCAGGCCCTGCTCCAAGTTTTTTCGACTCGCAATGCAGCTGCTGCTGAGGAAGCATTTATGACTGCTGGTGCTTTGGCTAATGTTGTTGGCGCCAAGTTTGAGATTTACATGCAATACTTTGGTCCTGTCGTGCTGATGGGCCTAAAGAACAGCGAGGAATACATGGTTTGTAGTGTTGCGGTGGGCGTTGTGGGCGACCTTTGTCGGGCTCTGGAGGGCAAGATTCTGCCGCTATGCGATGAAATTGTAGCTGCCTTGATCGAAATTTTGAAGAATCCGACACTAAATCGCTCCGTAAAACCACCAGTTCTTTCGTGTTTTGGAGATATTGCACTGGCTATCGAAGGTGACTACGAGCGCTATGCAGTGTCTTCTCTGCAAATGATCCTACAAGCAGCTGGGGCGTGCGGATCCATTGCGACTGATGATGAAGAAATAGTTGAATACATGAACCAGCTGCGCGAGAGCGTGCTTGAGGCGCTGACTGGTATTGCGCAGGGTCTAGGCGCCGCTAATAAGGCCTCTATGTTGCTAGAGTGCGCACCGCAGATTGGAGCATTTCTTGCTACACTGGCGAGCGATACTACGACGCGATCCGATGCGGTGACGACCAGTGCTGTGGGATTGATCGGGTATGTTAATATTGACTTCGTGTTAATGTTGCAATGTGGATAATGTGACTTGTGTCTGTATAATTTTTAAGTGACATGGGGCAGGCAATGGGCAAGGCGGTGGAGACGCTGTTTCACCAGCAATTTGTGATTCAGCTTGTGACCGAATGTGCGAACGACACACAAAATCCGCAGGCGCAGCAATTGGCGGCGTGGACGCAAAAGGTGATTATGGACGTTCAGGCCAACTAATCATATCGTCGGGGAATACGTTACTACTTGCGTTTTGCTGCTCGCCTTTTGCGAACAGAGATGCGAGTAGACGCAAGCCGAATTTTTATCAGCCGCAAATTTTTACTTGCCTTTTCTTGTTTTTGATGGCTGCCTTCTGCAGTTACAGAAATGAGTGGGCAATATATTCCGAGTTGTGAGCGGACGTGCCAGTGTTGCAGTACTACTTCTGGATTTGAAATTAGTTGGGTACTCGCCGATGACAACAGCTTGTCAGGTGATTCTATGTCTTCGTATCTTCCCTTACTGGAAGACATTCTTTAAGCGTTTGTTGGGGCAATAGTTCCATGAGAGCGGAGTTTGGCCGCATGACGTAGCCAACCTCTTTGGACTGCATGACGTAGTCAACCTGTAGCCAACCTGTCTGTTGTTTTATAAAACTGGTAATTTTACAACTGCGTGTTCATACCTTCCCCACGATACTCTCAATAAAATGTATCTTGTGTTTAATTGAGAACTTTGATACCGACGATCTTTGTCAATGATCATTGGATCCAGTATATCACGGGTCAAT